TCAAACCAGCCTACAGCCAGAGACCATGAAACCCCTGCTGCAGACACACACCCCTCCCATAATAAAGAGACTGCTGCTGACAAGGTCACTCTTTTTTTGTTGTTGGTTTTTTCGTGTGAATCTATTGAAAGTAAAGGTCATTCAGGCTTTTGCTTTGCCTGCTTCAGACCAGCTCTTCTTACAGAAAGCTTCCCCTCATAAATACTGCAAAGAGCTCTTGATAAATATTATGAAACCTCACCGAAAAATGTTGGTGTAAATGGGAACAGTGTTTTCTGACCCGCTTGTTGCATTTGTTGTTTGCTGGTTTGGGAGACACTTTGTAAACAGCCCTGGTTTTATACTCAGTGTTTGAGACTTCTGGGGTTTAGGGAGAGGAGAGCTAATGGGAATCCAAGAAGTATCAGGTTTTTATGTTTGATCCTGTGTTTGTTAGATGGATCTGAGAGAGTTCAGTGGAGTTACTCTTGGTATAACTCTCTCAGCAGGATGAGAATCAGTCCCTTGGCTCTTCCAAATTGCACTTGATTTCATGGAGGCCTCCATCAGGAGATATTGTGCAAGTCACTTTTACAGGACAAATTATCACGCTTCACACTGATGGTTTTATCTGTGGGACTTGCAAAGCTGCTTAGAACAGTAGAGCCATCCCCAGTTTTCCAACAGGATATAAACACAAGGATTTGCAACCCTATTTCCCTCACTGGTGCATGCAAGTGTTAGGATGAGGGGAAGCTCAGCCACTGGTGATTTTAGCCCTTATGGTTTAATGTAAAGAGATACCAAGGGCTTGAGATGGAGTAAAAAGGCATCCTGCAGGTGCCTGACTGCTTTTTGCTCCATGTTCCTGCTCCCTGGGAAAAATGAGAATGAAATGCAAGGAATGCAAAAAGAAAAAAAGAAAAGATTTCGCTAAGAATTCCTTTGTGCTTTAATTATTTTGCCTGGCAAGATCATGGAGCAGATCCTCACGGGAACTTTGCTTAGGCACACGGAAAATAAGGAGGTGGTTGGTGACAGCCAGCATGAGTTCACTAAGTGCACATCCTGCTGGACAAATTTCACAGCTTTCTATGACACAGTTACAGTCTTGGTGGACGAGGGAAGAGCGACTGACATTATCTACCTGGACTTGCGCAAAGCATTTGACACTAATCTATTCCACATCTTAATCTCTGTGGATAAAACGTGGATTTGATGGTTGGATGACTCAGTGGATAAGGAAGTGGCTGGACAGTCACACTCAAAGATTTAAAATCAACAGCTTGATGTTCAAGTGGAAACCAGTGAGGAGTAGAGAAACTGCATAAACAGAGACAAGATGCTGCTTCCTGATCTGAATAAGAATCCCACTGCCCTGCATCAAGTCTGTGTTTGCAAGACTTGAATCTCACCAAACCCCATGGAATAAAGGTTGTGGACAGCCAGAAGGGGCAAAGAACAAAAAAACCATATACCATTTCACATTTTTCTGTCTTGGTTATTTCCATTTGCTTTTCTCCTCTCTGGACAGAAATTGCTGAGCCAAAACTGCAATGACTTTCCAATATCCAAACATGTTCTCCATCCTTTAGGGAGATGCTTGTAGATGTTACAGGGGATGGGATAGATAAGATTAGCAAAGGCAAAGCTAAATTAAGCATCAAAAACATCAAAAGCATTTCACAGCGCCAAAGGCAAAGCCAAGCAGCCTCTCCAAGCCACCACAAGGGCTGCAGAGAAGATGTGAGGGGTTGGCCTAGAGGGAACCCAGCACCTCCAAACCCTACAGCTCAACACTATGGATCTGTGTTCAAATATAGAATCATTTAGGTTGGGAAAGACCTTGAATATCATTGAATCCAGCTGTTAACCCAGCACTGCCAAACCCACCACTAAACCATGTGCTCAAGCGCCACATCTGCACATCTTTTAAATACCTCCAGGGATGGTGACTCAAACACTTCCCTGGGCAGCCTGTTCCAATACTTGACAACCCTTTTGGTGAAGAAATTTTCCCTAATTTGCAATATAAACATCCCCTACTGCAACTTGAAGCTGTTTCCTCTTATCCTATTGCTTGTTACTTGGGAAAAGATGCTGAAATGCTTGCTTGGCTGAAAGTCTCTGCCCTATTTTTTTTTTTTAATGTACAAAGAAAATCCTTTATTTAATAAAGAAATGGAAAGACCTATTAAAACAAACTTTGTTACAACTGTTAATGTCACAATTCCCACCTGCTTTGCAAGAGGCCAGAGATAATTTATCATCCTAGTGCTTAAACAGCTAGTAGTTTATTCCTCTTGTGCAATCTTCCCCCTCAGGTATCCTCATTCCCCCTGGAGGAGGAAATCAAGGTGCAGGGTGGTGTATTTTGGGATCTGACAAAGGGAAAACGTGTGCAGGCAGATCTGCCAGCCCATACAGTAACTTCCAGCTCATTTACATCTGTGGCTGAAATACAGTTTCTGCCTCACTAAAGGCTTTGTTCCTTGAAAAGATGCATTTTGTAAAGGAAGATCAGCCCAGCTCCAGGGAATTTTTACTCAAGTGGGAAAATGTTGGTGCCACATCCAGCACAGGAAAATTAGGAATTAAATCACCATGGCATCAGGATTTGCACAAAATTCCCACTTCTCTGCTCAGCCCAGAAAGCTGTCAGCTTAATAGCAGTTTATTTCCAGGTGGAGGAATTAGTCTCCTGTGGCTTTTGAAAGCAATTTTGATCTCCAGCCTCAAGTCAAGCTGTGCTTGTGCCCAGAGGGGGCATTCCCAAAAGGAAATTGTTTGCCAGGCCTCCTGAGTGGCTGGGGGCAGGGGAAGGCAGGTGCTGGAGTGGTGCAGCACCAGGAGGGATTCACAGGGTTTTATGGGAGCAGAGAGGATGTGAGCATCCCAGCCCCACCATTGCCTCCTGGCTATTCCAGCTGCAGAACCGCTCAAACTGGGAGCTTTGGCAGCCACAACTGGTTCCCAGCAGCCCAGGATGAATGGAATCAGTCAAATAGGTGCCAGTGAGGGATGGAAGAGTGCAGAACTTTCTCCTGCTCACTTCCAGTATGACAACTCTGAACTCTTTTACCTCCTAACAACTCCTATTTTTTGTCCTCCCTGCTCTGCTTGTTAGCTGTGAGCATTTCCAAGAGCAGGAGGCCTCACTATCCTGGCACTCACTGAGTATAAGAGAGACTTCATCTCTGCCAGGAACACAAATATTTTCTTAACCATCTCAAACTCAGCCTGAATAGAATTTTTATCATAGTGACATGTCCCAGAATGGGAGGTCTCCGTTATTTTGGCACAAACTCGGGAACAGACCAGCCCTTCAACATGGTGCTTCATAGCCAAAGGAGAGGTTTACGCAAAGTTTTATGCCAGTCCAAATGCATTTTGCTGTAGAATGACCTGGTGAAGCTACCTCCAGTGCCCAAGAACCCACTGTGAGGCATGAAGGGAGTCTGTGAGTACCCAGGTTTTACCCAAATCACAGCAGTCCCCTTGAGAGGATTAAACCCTCCTCCTTTCTTACCTAGTCAATTATTGAAAGCAAAAATGATTCCAGCAAGCTTCTTCTGGAGCCTCAGCCCTTGGCGACGCACACCTGACAGCCAACCCCAGACAGCTCCTGCACTGGCTCCTGCTATGATGATAGTTTTTTGCTGCACTCCAGCTCCCAGAGACATTATATAATTCCAGAGGAATGCACTCCAGGATGAACACCATATGCCAGCAAGGAACCTTAAGAGGTGCAGCACGGGGAGAGGAAACCTCCTACCCACACGGGATACTTGTTGGCTTTAGCTGTTAGAAGAGCTGGTCAGCCATGCCACTGTGCCCAGCTGGGAAATGGCACGTGCCATGCACATCCCTGGGATGGCAGGTACCATGTTCTGTGCCAGGGAATGCAGATTGCAAGGGCCCACCAGCAGCTCTCTGGTCAGTGAGGGAAAGGCATGATGCCTATGGATGCACCCCACACCCCTGATCTGGATTGTTTCCGATCACCCCAGAGGGCTGGCCTGAGCTGCAGGGAGACCATGCTGCACAGGTAGATGTGGATGGGTTCCCCCAGAGAAGATGAGCTAGGCAGGGGGAAGGAAACAAGAGAGAGGAGGGAGGACAAGGTGATACATCCCAGGGTGATGCCTCTGCTCTTCCTGGTGAGACACATCCCACCAAGAACAAACAACTCATCACAGCCTCATCATCCTGTATCTCTAATGGCTTTCCAGCTCTTTCTCGTTGAATCATGGAATCATTAAGGTTGGAAAAGACCTCTAAGAGCATTGAATCCTTTACAACAGAGGTGGCTGCAGATCAGGTTTAAGTACTGCCTCCAACAGCATGCCTTTGTCATGGTGCAGCCAGCACTGGAAAAATTTATGAGAAAGCAGAGGGAAAAGAAATTCAACCTGGCTGGGCAACACTTTTAGCCCTGAGAGAAGGATTTTAAGTGAACCCCATGCAGCTTTAGCTCCTTGAAAGGCAGAAGCTGCCAATCTCCCTTCTCCTAACAACTCTGAGGGGCTGCTGACTTCAGTGAGGAAGGTTAAAACGAGGAGACTGGGAGTTAATCTGGGTGGCACTGCTCCAGCTGGCCTGGGATTCTTTGTGGGCTTTTTATTTATTTTTGTGGTTGGATTTTTTTCCACGCACAATAATCTCTGGTCCCCTTTGCTGTCTGTGGCTCTCAGCATGCAGCTGCAGACCCTCCACTGAGGAGATAATAAACACAATCCTGGCCATTATTGTTGCAAACAGCACAGCTGGAGACTCCCATCTCATTCCCCTCATGGCTTTTCTTTGCCCCCCCCCCCACCAATAATTCTTGTATCATGATGCTGCAAGCAATGAATGCCAGTGAAACTGCTTGGTGGAGCATCAGCTGGGGCTCCAGGAGCTGCCTTCACCCCAGTGAAGCATGTGAGACATTTACTGGACCCAGTGGGTTTCCTACAGGGTTTGGGAAGGGGAGATTTGGGGAGGAGAAGGGCTGTAGGTAGAGCTGATAAAGGGTTTACCAGTAGTGTGTCATCCCCACCATGATTCCCACTGCAGATGATGCTTCATTGCTCCCATGGTGTGCAGTATCTCCTCTGCTCTTTTCCTCCCCTCCTTGGCCCGGGATTCTCCAGTCCCTCTTGGCTGGTGGAGGGTTTTGGAGAAAGATCATCTGAAGTGGGTTGGGAGAGCCATTTCCCCAGCAGGACCAATTTCTCACCACTAATGCTATGCTGAGTCCCCATTTAAGTGCCTCAGTTTCCCTCCTGACACTTTATGGATGACTAGTACTAGGTCTGAGAGGTGTTCACTCACCCCCATCCCCAGGTTTAATTCCCACCAGTTTAACTGGGAAGGGAGCACAAAGCCTGTGGATCTCACTCCACACAGAAGTCCCCAGCCAATACTGCCACTGCTCTAACTGGTTTAGCCAAATGTTACCACAGTCCCTGTGCTCCATGTCGAGCTCCTGCCTTCCTGGATACTCTAGGGACAGCAGCCCTGCTTTGCCCTCTACAAAATGGGCAGCCAGGCTAGGGGAGAGGGAAGGGGATGGATGAGACTGGCAGTTACCCTATGATCCTACAATTCTTTGAATTGGAGATTGCTTACAAGAGGTTGCAATGCTTTGATCCTGGACAGATAAAAACAGAACTTTTGCGGTAGGATTAAATTGCTTTGGATAAAAGATCTCCCCCATCCTGCTCTGTGAAGTTTGGCCTCACCATGCCAACTACTACAGACATATCGTTCTCAAGGACGGGAGGAAAACAGGCACTTTTGGGGTCAGGGACATGTCCTGCCCCACTTGGAGACAGGAGTCACAAGCCCCATGCACATGTGTCACCTCAGACACGATGGTGTTGAGGAATCACAACTGGTTTGACCCATCAATCACAACAGGAGTTTGAGTCTCAATTTTTCCTGAGGAGGATTATCTTATTCAAAGTAAACAAAAAAATCCCTGAAAATACAGCCCCCATCCCTGAAAGTGTTCAAGGCCAGGTTGGATGGGGCTTTGAATAAGCTGGTATAGCGGAAAGTGTCCCTGCCCACAGCCAGGGCGTTGAAACTGGATGATCTTTAAGGTCCAATCCAAACCATTACGTGATTTGTCTCCCCACCCCTGGGTTTGAGCTGCTAGCAAGAATCAGGGGAAAGGAGAGGAATCACCATCACAGAGACAAAGACTGCAAAAATAATGAGGAAGGGAGAAAGGGGAAGGAAAAGAAACCCTGCAGACACCAGCGCTCAGACATTACCCACAGCACATGGCCCTCTGTCTACTATGGTGAAGATAAAGTGCTTTTTTCCAGTTTGCCACTGCTCTGACAGGAGATTTCCAGCCTGGTTAATTCAACTCAGGAATGTCCCATGCTAAGGCGGCCAGGATGGTTTAATCTCTTGCAGTGTCTGCAAGCAGATGGGAAGGCTGGGGCGATTCCCAGTGCACAAATTTCCTTTCCCCTGCTGCACACCACCAATACAATAGAAACTCCCAGGAAATTAAAACCCTCCCCCCCCAAAAAAAAAAAAAAGAATCAATAAAAATTAAAATATCAAGATTTCCTTGCAATGAATGGCTGAGCCGTTCATACATTTGCCTCAATAGGTCCAGGTGCCAAGTTTTAAGACAAGAAACAGCTTGCTCAAGCCAACCTTTATCTCTTCCCAGCCCTCAACATCTCCGTGTTTGGAAGTTTCTTTTGATAGCCTGCCAAGGCAGCCAGTGCTGCAGCTACCGTGCAGAGCCTGGGGGTGCCAGGGGTCAGGAGGGCTGCTGGACAAGGATGCCTTGTCTCATCCCACCCTCCAGAGTCTGCTTCTCCCCACCAACCAGCTAACAAAAGAGAAGAAGGAGGAGGAGGAAGGAGGAGAGACTGAAAGAGGATAAAAAAAAGCAGTTAGGGATGGAGGGAAAACTCTAAACCTCTGGAAGACGGTGGCTCACCTTGTATTCCCAGCTTGGGCTTGCACAGGGGTGACACTCACTGCTGCTCACTGGGTGGCTGCCTCAGGGAGCACAAGATGCTTTTCCCTATATAAAAATAAAATTAAAAAAAAAATCCACAAAACCCCCTAAAAACTTCGGCATGTTTTTTTCCCTTTTCTCCCAATTTCCTCTCATCCATTCAATGCTGTTTTTTTCCTTACACTTAGTTGTAAGAATAGGGGTGCAGGCGACCCTCATCCCAACCCCGCAGCCTTTCCTGCCAGTCCAGCCTGTCACCAGAAATTAATGACCCCTGGGATGTTTGTCACGTCCTCGCTCCCTCCAGGCATTTTGTCATTGCTCCCCATTGCCTCTGACAGCAGCTGCTCAAATTCATTCACAAATCAGCAACGTCTGCCCTGCTCCAGGATGCCGCAAGGGAAAATCCGTCTGAGCGCCGCCACCAGCCTCCCGCCTCACCCCGCGCTCCCACCGCCCCTGGAGCAGGGAAGGGGCAGCTCCTCACAGCGTTCCCTACACTCCTGGGCCATTTATAACCCGCACCGAGCAGGCACCTCCCCGGGCCAGGGGCCGGGACTGCCTCCCGTGGGTCACGGTGGGACGGGAGCCAGGCCCCGCGCCAGGGCCACACTGACCCGCTTCGCCTGTGAGCGCCTGGCTGCCGACAGCGAGCCCCCAGCCAAGTTCAGCTGAAAATCCTCCCAGGGACGTGCCAGCTTCCTCCGCTCCCGTCAGCATCCAACACATCCAGCGCGCTTCTTATTGCCGGAGAGAAGGGCGAGATGCTCCAACCCTGCCTTTCCCCGGCGTCTTTCTCCCGGTGTTCGCCCTGCTCCTCTCGGCTGCAATAGCCCGGTGCTGCCAGCCGAGCTCCGGAGCGGCAATCAATGCGATATTTCAGCGCAACGCCAGCGATCGGCACCGGCTGCTCTCCGCACAGCAATGGCACAGTGTCCAGCCAGACAAGTTTCCCACTGTAACTTCAGTGAATGCTGTTATTCAGGCAGCTGATTTATCATGGCAGGCACACGGGGAAAGCTTTCCATTCGGGAGACCAGGGGCTGCTCGTCCCACTGCCGCGACGAGCACCGTGAGCTCAGCAGGGTTCGCTGTGCTTTCCTTACAGCCCTGCTCCAATGTCTTCGCTGCCACGGAATTGAATTCCTGAACCGTGCTGCCGAGCGTCGCTTAACGGAGGCGATGCCACTTCCCCGCGACAAAAGCCACCGGCTCCATCCCCAGCGCTCTCCTCCCAGGCTTCCCAAACCCCAAGCAAGAGGAGTGAAGTTGACAGACCCTTTTGTTTCCAGAGAGCTTGGCACGTGTTGTGGTTTACTGAGCTAATAAATCTGCCGTGGGCTGCGCCTTTTAATGACTGCAGCATTAATAACAAGTTTCCTGGGAGCTGCCTAAAAGTTTACAGGGTGTGTGCACTATCAGGGGAACCCCGTGCTTTCTGACCTCCTGCTTCAGAAGTCACACCCAGCAGCTTCTTTCATTCTTTCTTCTTCTTCTTCTTCTTTTTTTTTTCCTTTACTTTTTTTTNTTTTTTTTTTTTTTTTTTTTCAATGAGAGAATGAATAAATCTTGCTCAGCTTCCTCTCTCCCCTTCCCACACACACCTTCCCCGTCTGCTTAATTTACTCACAGATGGGAAATTCCCAGTCAGGAATGCCTTTGCCATGCCTTTATCAATGCAACCCGGGGGGAAAGGACCCCCCTCCCCCTCTGCACCTTCCAGCTTCTACACCCCATCCAGCCGACCCCTCTAAGCTTTCCTTCTCCTTTCTCTCCTTACCTTGGGTAAGCTTTCAAACCCTGCGAGCCTCCCAGCACCAGAAACCCACTAAAAAGCTTCTCTTCGCTCCCGAGAGTTGAGGGGAGGGCCCGCAGAGGAGGAGGAGGAGGAGGAGGAGGAGGAGGGAGAGGAGGGGAGACAGGGAGCCCTGTGTGAAATCAAAGCCCCGAAGCCGGGCACGGGAGGCGGTGCGGAGCCTCCAGCTGCTGCTCGGATTACCCTGCAGCCGTGGCGATCCCGAGACCTCTAGAAACCACCATTCCACTGGGGGAAGGCGAAGGGAAGGGATTCCAGCTGGAGACGTTTCATCCCGGGAGGGGAGCCGGGCTGGGGGCTCGTACGCACCCACCGCATCTCAAAGTTCCCCCTCTGGAAAAACCAGAGGTGGGGGGAAAAAAGTAGTTTACTTCCAGCCGAGACCTCTGTCCTTCCCCCTACCCCGGCTGCGAAGAAAAACTCATCACACCGAAACAACCCCCTCGCGAAGAAAAACTCGTCACACCGAAAAAAGTTTCCGCACTCTGAGGCTGGGGAGGGCTCCGCAGCAGGGACCCCCGGGTTTGGCCCTGCACATCCCCGGGCAGGCAGCAGGGAGGGCTCAGCCCATCGCGGTCCAGCTTCCCCCCTTCCCAAAAATGAGCCCCACGGTTCAGCACACCCGGGGAAGTGTGGAGGGGGGTGCAGAGAGGTATGCAGTGGCCAGGGAGGGGATGGAGGGCGCAAGGAAGGGGTGGAGGTCAGGGAGGGGATGCGGGGTCAGGAAGGGATGGGAGCAGAGGGGGGGACTCACGGGTCCGGGGTCGGTTCCCAGTGCCGGGCCGGTTCCCACGGAGGGAAGCGCTGCGCCGCTTCCCACGGCGGGAGCCGGCAGCAGCAGGGCTTGGGGCCGGCTGTCCCCTTCTGCTCTCCTCTTCTCCCTCCTCCTTCTCGTCCGAGGCGTGCAGCTGGCCGGGCAAGCTGGCTGCCCCCTTCCCCGCAGGAGGAGGGAGGAGGGAGCTCAACAGATGGCTGCACACAAGGGAACATCTGGGAGGAGGAGGAGGAGGAGAAGGAGGAGGAGGAAGGAGGCAGGAGGCAGGACTTGCGCTAGACTGTGCCACTCCTGAGCTGGCAGACCCCCCTTAACAGGGGAAGAGGGAAGGGGTGGTCGAGCTGGCTTTGCACACGCACAGAGTCCCCCTTCCTGCTGCCTTGCATCCCCCCTGGATAAAATTCTTTGTCGTTCCTTTGCTTTCTTGGGGATCACACCGGAGTTGCCCTTTCAGCACAACCGCATTTCCAGCTCTGACCTCTGCAGGGCTGTATTTGCAGACGTGAGTTCTATTCCTGAACACTGCCTTCATTTAGTTTTCCAGGCCTTCAGCGCCAAGGTCAGCTCTGGCACCCCAGGGTGCAGGTAGGACAAGGCAGCACCAACGTTTGAGCAATGCCAACAGGCAGGAGACTGGGGCTTACAAATTGTATGGTGCAACCTTTGAAATAAATAGAGGGAAAAAAACCCGCAAAAAAAACCCAAAAGAAACCCTCAAAACAAAAAACAAATTCACAAAACCCCTAAAAACCCCTCAAAAAACCAAACAGTCAGATATTAATCCACAGTGTGGGGTACAGAGAGTCTGAATCCCATCACTGGAGGATAGGCAGTGCCTGGGGCTGTGAATGAGCAGCCCTGCATCAGAATTTCTTGGTTATTAGATGTAGCAGCCCAGTGGTGGCTTTAGTCATGATGGTGGTACTGGAAAGAGAATCAGAAGTCACAGATTCACAGAATATTCTGAACTGGAACTCACAAGGATCACCAAGTCCAGCTCTAAGGTGAATTGCTCATACAGGGATTGAACCCACAACCTTTGCATTTTTGGCACCAGGCTCAAACTGACTGAGCTTATCTCAGGGTGTCAAGTGCCTCATGTCATTGTGCCATGGCACTGCAAAAGGCAAAAGGGACTGCAAGGCTCCATGGGTCACAGAGGACATATCCTGTGGCTTGCTGCAGCTTCTCATATTCAGCATCTTGCACCCTTTTTGTAAGACTGGCCTGCGCCAGGTCTTAAGATGTGTAGTTGCTTGTTTTGTAGCAAGTTTAAGTTAAGAAAGTACAATCAGGCATCCTGTTGTTTGCTTTTAGTAGCACCAAAATACCCCACTTGCCCCATATTGATGATCAGGGTTTGCTCAGACCACAACCTTCAAGAAGGCCTGAGGTGCTGAGATTTGTATTTAGCATCTCTTTGTGATGAAAAAGTCCTGAAAAGGGTTTGGTTTGTTTTTGTTCTGGGCAGCTGCTTTCTCTAAGAACATCACTGCATGAAGATTTGCTGGGTGACCTCCCTGCCCAGCAAGTGCAGCTCTGGTCAGAGGCAGGAGGCAGGAGGTATGGGGGCATCAGGAAGATGCCACAGTTGTTCCTCTCCACCCTCTGCATTTCCGAGTGTGGCTTATCCAGGATATGTTCTCACTCTGCCCCTGTCTCGGGAGCTGCTTTTCGGGAATCACCATCAGACTTGGAGAGCTCTGCCAAGGAGCAGCCCCAGGGAGCCAGAGGGAGGAAATGTGTGCTCAGGACTCAGCTGAGCCAAATGCTTTTTGGGGAAAACCATGGGAAAATCCCCTAGACTGGGTTGTGATTTTCCATGTAAATGTCTCAGTGATATCTCCAGACATGAACAGTCTCTTGTAAGGATCCATTCAGCAGGGTCTTTACACTGTTCAGTTTTTATAGCTCTGAGTAGGGGAAGTTGTTGAGTTGGAAACTTTTGTTTAATTTTCCATTTTGTTCATTTTTTTCCATGCTTTATTTTAGACCTTTGCCATGTCAAAGTTCTCCTCAGTAAAACAAAATGTCAGTTCAAAGGTGAAGAAATTAGGAATTAAATCCTTTGGCTGAGATCCAGCTAATACATAATATCTATATGTTATATATACAGGCCCAGTTTGATGTAGTTGACCAAAGTCATGACAAGGGCTGGCAGTTCTGGGTGATCTGGGGATAGGGATTAGACCTGATGTGATGCTAACACAGAATTAGTTAAGCATCCTTCTGATTCTTAGCTACTTCAAACAAGAACTGTACCAGTGTGTCACCACCCTCACAACAATTTCTTCCTAAATTCTTATCTAAACCTCCCCCCTGTCAGACAGCTGGAAGCCATTTCCCCTTGTTCTCTGACTACAAGTCCTTGTCAAAAGTCCCTTTCCAACTCTCTTGTGGCCCTTTTAGAGCACTGGAAGATGCCTCAAGAGCTCCTTGGACTCTTCTCTTCTCCAGGTACAGCAAGCCCAGCTCCCCCAACCTGTCTCCACAGCAGAGGTGCTTCAGCCCTCTGAGCAACTTTGTGACCCTCCAGCAGTCCAAAGAGTTAACTATCAAGATAACAGCATTTTTAGAGGATGTTTAGTCTTAAGGTCATGTTTCCCACCATCACTATTTCTATTTCTTTGCCACATGAGAGTTTATTTTTGTAAAAATAAAATAGGGTTTCCACAGAAATGTGTAGTCCAATGGAATGAACATTCCCACACAAAACCAGCCATTCTGTGTTTGGACAAATATCCCCATCTGTCTCAAACAGTTCGCTGCCTGGGGCACCAGGGGAGGGTGAAAGATGGAAATGGAATTCCAGTTTTGTCTCTCCAAACAGCCCTCCTGTACTGCTGGTGCAGAGACCCTGGCAGCTCTGGGAACCATAGGACATCTTCTCCCAGTTAGGCTCTTCCAGGACCATGCTGAGCTTTCCTCAGATCTTCTCTTGACAGAAGACTCCAGCTCAGTTCTGTGTTTCTCAATGTCTGATAACATCATGGCTGGTTGGACTTGTTAAAATCCAGAGAATTTTTATGCTAGAGGAGAGATGTCTGAGTCACTCTGGCTTTCTCCTGAATGAATCCTAATAGACCTGTCAGGGAAAAGAAGTTAAAGTGAGAATGGGGATGACATAAACTGGATTAGTAAGAAGAGCTAGAGCTGGAGTTTTGCCTCATGATCTCTGAGCCCCTCCCTGACATCTCATTTCCCTTCCTGTAATTATGCAATTCCAGGAAAGGTTTTTCATGCACCAAACTGTTGGGAAAAGCCACAAAGCCAGATCAGTGGCTGGCAATCCCCTACTCTGATCTTTTCCCCCATACGAGAGTACTCCTGCAGAGGAGGAAGCCTTCCCTGGCTGCTGCACAAGGGATTGCTCGTGAACTCTCTCCTTTGTGGTGGAGATGGAAGAGATGGCTTAGGATGCTGTCCAAGCTCAATTGCCATTGATGTGATTGCTCAGAAGGAAGAACCTACAGCAGCAGCCAGCAGGGTTACTTGTGAAAGAGTTCAGTTATTGCAAGGGGTTTAAATAAAACACTGTTGACAACAGCAGCAAACAACATCATCAGTTCCCAGTGGGAAAAGATGATATAGGGAGGTCTACCTGTCTGCTCTGGGAATGTTTCCCTTCCTTGTGGGAGTCCTGTTCTA